TGCTGCTCCTCCGAACACGCTGGCAGTGGTTCGCTCTGATCGATCCAGAAAGGTTTTGGGGGACTGAAACCGCAAAGAAATAGAATTAACTCGTGGCAAACTGGTGCAGGCGCAGACAGCCTATCTCAAGTCACAAAACACTTGTGTTGTATATTGAGAAATGACAGCACAATAAGAGATGAGCAAACCGGACACTTTGACAATTATAGTTCAGTAATTATTATACACCTGTGACTGAGATGAAAATTGTCCTTGAAAAGGTTACCTCAGCACATAGTTTTCGCGGAGAGCTGTGGTAGCTTGAAAATGATACAAAACCATGAGTCTATCATAAGATTTCACGACGCATTGGTTGAAGTACAAGGGACTACAGCAACGTTAGCTTGAAAATCCTGAGTGACGTGATCTAGTTTCGTGCATTGAGACCTTCCTCTATTAGTCGTCTTTCATTGCGAATACACTCGTTCATCATATTCAGTGTTTTTATCCCTTCTCTCGTTCTCCAAATAAATTTACAGTAGGTTATCGACCTAAGTCACAGAAGCAGTGAAACTCAAAATTGTAAACGGAAGTACAGGATGTTCCTAAAATTTCGACATCGTCTATACATCCAAACCAACCGTTTGGCGCACCGTACTGTACTGTCATGTTTATGTTGAGAGGAAAACCGGCAACCATGATCCTGAAACTTGGAGTGGCGGACCACATAAGGCTTCAATAGATCAGGCGTGGTAGTGAGCCGGGCGACGGCAGAGCCACCTACCACCTAAGAAACCGCATGTGAACAACCACCTGAATTATATGGGTTCTAGGAAATCTCTGAAAATAGAAGAACATTATCAACAGTGCTTGGTACCTGCGAAAAACCGAATGGGCTAATCCAAACATTGACCATCTAAAACTTGCCATGTTCAAAATTAAGCTTGTTAAGTTTTGTTTGTCTTTCTCACATGTTCGCTTCTGCACGGACAACTCAAATTAGGTCCATTTTTTGGGGGCAATCTGTGTATTTGGTCGATCAATTTTAGACTCATATGCGTTATGAATTTTGCAACTAAATAAAACCAGATAGAATTTGCCACAGCTAATAACCATTTGATAAAAATGTTAACGAATAATGGGCAGTAACGAAAAGCAGCAATGGCCCGAATCTGGATATGAACATCCTATAAGATTCGAAATGGAGTGGAAGTTGCAAACACACTCCTTGTTCCGGGGCAGAAAGTAGACTAATCGACCAAGCCTAGAACAAACTGTAAATCCAGTGTAATGAACGAAATAAACAGTTTTAAAGTAAGAACTTGATCAATAAAAAAATGATATGACGAGGATCGAGCGGCATGAACAGCTTATCTATTTGATGGCGTTCAACCCCTGTCTCTTGTCGTAAACTCCCATTTACTATTTTCCAGTCTTGAATAGGCAGCGGCTTCCTCCATAATATTAATTATACATGTTATATGTGGTATCTGTATATTATCATCGCCTTCATAAACAAAACTAAAAATTGTATCATAGCAAAGATCTAGCATGTCTTAACGGTGAATAGATGCATGCCAGTTTAAGACAGAGACACATTTACTAGTCTCTAATCAGCAATTAGATTGCAACTAAGATTCCCAAACAGGAAACCTAACATCGCGTGCTTATAGAGAAATCAAAGACAAAAGGAAGCTGCTCTGCTGATCCAGTGACAACATTAACTGATTGAATCAATTTTCTGAGAAATTGTGCATAAATTACGCTTAAAAAAATACAGCACTGCTTCGCAGAGGCTATTTCGAATTTCCAGTGTATAGGTGAAACTAACTATTAAGCCAAAGTTGAAACTAACGGTAATTCCTTTGGTCATAATCCAGTGCTCATCACCGAGAGCTACAGGTATCGGTCAGCTTTCACAGAAAACACGTTTTCAAGGTCTCAAAGAACGCGACGAATGGTGTCTGCCTCGATAAAAGACCCTGGGACAAAAAAATTGTGTACGACAGATGCATTGAGCGTCACTGTAATCTCATAAAACCGTCCATCCGGATATCAAGTACGGTAATGACCGAACATCCCGGAGAGGAAGAAAATGATTGCGGGCGGGGATTCAATGAATTCAATGAAAATAGGTGCGACTACTGGCAAGTTACCATCCCTTCATCCAGACGACTATTATTTCACAGAAATCAAAAGAGCGAAACTGAGATAGTTCACGCGTAAGGTGGCGCACCATCTTTTCGCAGTTTAATTATACGGTCCAATGCGACTAGCAGTACAAGGACTTACTAATGGATAACGGCAACCAGTAAATTTAAAACGTGTGGTAGTGAACTTAATTAGGCGCAAATGGGAGCTAACCAGAGTAGCTAAAGCCAAGTGAAACAATTAGACCGACCACCTTACATATCCAACAGGTCAAATTGCATTACAAGCGCAAACCGGATGCCTCAAATTACCCAGGAATTAGTAATCCACAAAGTGGCTCAATTCTCCGAGCCCACAGAAGAAATACTGGTAAAATGACATTAAAGACCAAATTGTCAAGCCAGGTTAATCACAAGCGTGTGGAAAACCACGTTCATCAATGGTACTTACACGGACCATGAAGGAGATGTGGATCCACGTTTTGGAGGAACAGAATCAGTTGTCAAATCCTCAACAAACGACGGTAGCATCGGAGTGAACGGTTTGGATTTCGTCAGTGGTGTGCTCTGAAGCTCTGTGTTAGGGAAAGCACGCTTGGGTTGAAGTAAATTTTCATATACCGCTGGATCCACCTTAATTGCATCAAGCCGAAGCTCCAAAGATAGCTGCCCCCGTCTACGAAGGTTCTGGGATGATGCACCTGATTTTTTGGTTGAAAGGAAAGAGACAATAAAATACCAGATACCATGATACCTCTTTTACCTGTAACTAACATCGCGCTATAGCAAAACAGGTATTGGTAGTGATATTTGGTTTGTTGTCTGTGTGAGATGAAATATTATTGATTCCGGAATACGAATAATACCAGTTTATCGCCCGTTGCTGGTTAGAATGAATATTGTAAATAGAGGCAGAGTTTTCCACACGCATGATACACTTTAGACGTAAATTCAGGGTCTTAGACAGGAGTGAGCAGGGAGGAAGATCGATAATGACACATCAAAATCGTCTTAACGAGAAATCCGGCGAAGCAAATTTCGCATGCCGCAACCAAGCTCACAATGCAATCAAAGTATGAATGTGTCAAGTGGATAGGAAATGGGTTCATTTTGAGGGAAGGGAAGAGTGTGAATCTTTGCAGAACACGTAGATGACACCCTGACTGTATATACACTAACCACGTAAGATAAAAAAGAGGCACCACTGTCGGTTCGCGTCCCCGGTCAAGGAGTTCAAGACACTGTGCCGTTTTTCATACCTCACCTCTACGTAATATGTTAATTTCATGATTTGATCCTCTCTGAAGTGACAACAGCCGACAGGGCGCGGTTCAGCAGGCTACAGTTATACATGCGAAATATGTATTGGTCGGTGAATTTTGCTCATCCAAATTCAGTTTCTAAAAATCCCCCACCCAAGGGCTTTTGATATAAACGGTTTACCTTGATGTTACTAGCCTACTGATCCCATTCTGCTTGCTCCAAACTACACTAACACAGACGGCCGAAAACCAACAATCCACGGGTGCCTACCGGCGTAAACCCAAGATCGTTCAGTATGTATTTTCCACCCTCAAATATAAAGGTCCGCTACAAGACTGGTGGGAGTTTACGCTGGCAACGGTACTCAGTGAGTCTGGAAATCAACAATTTTGTACTCCTTGGGAGGTGCATCACAGCAAGTAATAAGGTGAGTGAGGAAATCAAAATGCAAATTGTAAAGACTCGCCTAACCTTCGCCAACTTGAGATATATATGGCATAGACACGACATCAGCCTTTACATGAAGTTGGATGTAAAAATCCACCGTCGGTGCGAAACCTGGCTACTTCGCGACGAGGTCGTTAATCGACTGTTCGCATCCCACCTTCACTGTCCGTGTTTTGTGAGAGCAACATGTCAGTAATTAGTGCGTGATGCAGCGGGTGCTGGGTGCAAACAGTACCGTCTACGATGACCGAGGCACATGCTTCGGAACTCGAAAAAACACCTTTTCATGTGTAGTTCACGAACGCTCATTTGTCGTGGAAAAACGACGATAAACGAAAACGTATTACGGGAATATGAAGCTCACTGGAAATCTATCACTCGTTGACTCCCCTCGACTTACAGGTTTGCGCGTCCACGATCTCCATAATTTGTGACTGGAGAGACTAAGGGACATGGCCCGAGATCGAGTTGTTCCCATTAAATGTTACAAAACACAACCTGTTATATATATAGATATATATAGATATATATGGCATTGAACTGGACGACAGTAAAGCTGCCTACCAAGTTGGGTGGCGGGACTCGAACCTCGAACCACAGAGTCCAAAGCACGCCGGTGACAGCGACTAAACCGCTGCACCACCATCCTAATGTTTGCTGCGGTTAGTGGCACCTACCCGCCCGCTATGCAGCAACTACTACAACCATCCGGTGCTTCACCAAGTTATTCTCTATTTGTGGCATGTCATCTTATATGCACTCAGATAGGGAATCCTTTTACATGTCTGGGGAACCGAAAAGCTTCGTTCACAATAACCGTATTGTCTCCAATAGAACAAAGGCCTACAATTCTCTACTAAACAGGCAAATTAGGAAAGTGAATGGGACCCTCTGGAAGACCATCGTTCTCGCAGCCCAATCAAGAGCTCTGTCTTGTACTTAATGGGAGACTGTTCTACCGGATGTTATCCACTTCACACGATCACGACTGTGTGCGACAACACATCAACGGTATGAGCGGTTGTTTATAGATTACCACAAATCTGCATCAGAGGTCTCCACACTAAGTGCTCCAGGACTGGTCTTATTGCATCGCCCAATAAGAGTAACGAAAAACGAGCCCCTCGTTCACGAACTTGAATTGATCAAGTACACCCACATTCGTTTTCCAAAAGGAGGTGAACACAGTACTTATACACTACCTGGAACTCAAAGGTTAGGCTTTCCGGCCAACGACGGTAATACACTTGGCGACAAACGAACGCTCAAACCCTGGTGCGACTCGCAGTCTTGGCCCCATAACGATTAACAAATCTGATGAACCAGACCATCACCATCGTACAGCGAGATACAGTGAAGTGAGCTTCACTGAACGCTGCCAAGCTCACAATGTACACAAATCAAGTGTGATAAAGCACTAGATGGAGAGGGATCGGGCCTACTTGGAGGGAGGCAAAGAATAAGAACCTCTATGTTCAACACACAGAGCACACAATCCAAGTGTTCATGCATACCTTTTTTCAAGCACTCTGCCTTGTTAAGAAATGACAACAAGAGCGCCACTGCTGTCGGTCAGTCACCATATCCTTTATTGTCTTCAGCCAACCAGTTGTAGAGTCTTTCGGACCCCAACCTGGAAGACGGGAGACACCGATTCTACCTAATCGCTCTGCGCATTTCTTCATGCCTTGCTTCTGCTGACCACCACGCGGTTTCTTCCAACCTGGAGCCGCAAGTGTGAACAAGGCGCTGTGCGGCAGACGATGGCTAGGCATGCGCAATGCGTGTCCTAATCAGCGGAGCCGATTAATCTGAATTCGATGGGACAACGAATTCTCCATCGAATTATTACCAAATACGCGACGCCTCACCTCA